AGGGCGAGTGGTTGGGCCGTCCGTTGAATACAGTGAGTTTTTTCAACGCTAAGGATAGTGTAGCAGTCTGACGCATGCCCCCCATTCAGGAATTGGTGTCGCGAGATGCGCCCGAGACTATGACGGCGGGAGCCTTCTGGGCTGCGTACGCCAAGGAAGAAGATGGCAGCTGCGAGGGTCCGAGACAGAAAATGGAGCTCACGCTCGACGGGACGTCGTATCACCATCTCGACACGTTCAAGGTTCCCGACGGCTACGCGGAGGTCGACGTCGTCTTAGAAGACGGTAGTGGTGTGGAAACGGAGTGCACGGTCGTTGCAGGCATGGTCGGGATGCAAGCGTTCTCAGGCTCCAGCGGAGCGGAGAAGGAGAAGGACGACACGCTGCGTCCCGTCGCAGGATGGTGGGCTTTCTCGAAAAAGAGCGAACGCACGCCGGTCGTTGCAGGCATGGTCGGGATGCAAGTCTCCTCAGGCTCTAGCAGAGCGGGGAAGGAGACGGACGACACGCTGCGTCCCGTCGCGGCTTTCTCGAAGAAGAGCGAGTGCACGCCGGTTGGTGCAGGCACTGGCATGGTGGGGATGCAAATGTCCTCAGGCTCCAGCGAGGCGGGGAAGGAGAAGGACCGCACGCTGCGTCCCGTCGCGGGATGGCGGGCTTTCTCGAAGAAGGTTGTTGCACGCCTGGGTCGGAAGCAAGCGTCCTCCAGCAAAGCGGGGAAGGAGAAGGACGACACGCTGCGTCCCGTCGCAGGATGGTGGGCTTTCTCGAAGAAGAGCGCGTGAGAGAGGCGCATGGCAGTGAAAGAGCGCGTTTGTATAATAATACTCTGTTCAAGTTATGTTGTCTATGATGTACTTATAGCTTATCAAGTCGCATTCGGCACCTCCAATAAATGGCCAACTGAAAACGTCAGTAGGCGCTTGCTTAAAACTTAATCATGAGGCTGGCTGGATGGGCACTTACGACGACCAAACCCGTTTGCTCATCAGTGTGAGTTCGCGACGGCATCGAATCAAGTCCATCCACTTGACTGGGAAACGAACGGGATGCAATTAACTTCAAAGAACACGAATATGCATCCGGGCGTGTCTGGTCCGTATCAGTACTAACAGAACTCAACCATGTCAACGATTCGATTCCACGACAAGAAACTACTAGTAGTTGCAGGGTTCACCACCAGAAGACGAGGAAACCATGGATTTGGCTTAGCACTACGGGCGGCCCGGACATATTACATACTGTAAGTATGGGTTGGCGAGTAGACACCTGGTCGCAGACGCTACCAAGAAAATTCCACTTCTCGAGCATACTGTATGTACAGATGGAACTATAGTACTAGGCCACAAGGAATGATATATATTTAGTGTGCTTGGTGCCCACTCCGAGTGGCCATCAGTCTGTGCTGCTTGAACCATTCTCTCATTTCCAGTCCTACGCGCTCTTCTTTGAGAAAGCCCACCATCCCGCGACGGGACGCAGCGTGTCGTCCTTCTCCTTCGCCGCTCCGCTGGAGGACACCTGCATCCCGACCAGGCCTGCAACGACCGTGCACTCTGTTTTCACACCCTTCTCGTCCTCGACGACGACGTCGACCTCCGCGTAGCCGTCGGGAACCTTGCTCGTGTCGAGATGGTGATACGACGTCCCTTCGAGCATGAGCTCGAATTTCGGACCCTTGCGGCTGGTGCGGCTGCCGCCTCCTTTAAGTTCTTTCTTGGCGTACGCGGCCCAGAAGGCGGGAGCCGCCATAGTCTCGGGCGCCTTTCGCGACACCAATTCCTGATTGGGGGACATGCGTCAGACTGCTACGCTATCCGTAGCGTTTAACAAAGGCTCACTGTATTCAACGGACGGCCCAACCACTCGCCCTTGCGGCTGAAGACATTGAACGCGTTGATCCAGCCAGAGTAGTACTGCACCCCGCTCCCGCCCTCGTGATGCGCGACCTTGCTCCAGAAGTCGATGTTCTTTTTGCTCCGCGGGTCGTCGAACGCCGCGACAAAGCGCGAGATCACGGGCCGCAAGAGGTGGTACCACGCAATCGTTTCGACGCCGTACTCTTTCAGCTTTTCCAGCCGCCCGAGGATGTCGACCCAGTCCGCGCGCTCGCCCTCGAGGGTGACGCGCGGGATGCCGCACCCGGTGAGACATCGGTATGAAAAGTACTGCTTGACCGTGGCCATGAGCAGTATTGCTGCGACGGCGGTGTCTGTCGCGTTGGTCGTCGTAAACGCGGGGAGCGCCCAGGCGCGCAGACTTGGATCGACGACGTTCTTCTCGACGAGATCGGCCATCTGGTTGGCCATCTCCCCGAAATCCATTTCGTCTGTCGTGGCGACGAGCTCTGTCTTCCCGTCGTGCGCAACGAAGGCCGCGCGAAGCACCTCGGCGTTGGCGTTGACGAAGAAGCTGAACTGGCAGACGATGGCGAGCCAGACGTCGTCAGGGCGAATGACGAGGTTGTGGTGGTCGCTGTACGCCTTGATCACTGTGTGGACGAACCCGTTCTTGCTTGGGATCAGGTATGGGAACCGGGCGTCAAGATTGCAGCTGGGCGGCCTTGTTACTGGCTGGTTCTCGCAGTATGAACTTGAACGGGCTCTGTGACTTGCCTTTCGTGCTCCTCCGCATTGCCTAGCGAGAATTGAAGCAACTTCTTGTCGACATTTCCACTGGGCTCGGAGGCTATTCCGTTCCGAAAGACTTCTTCTCCGGTCAGACCCGCGCCTCGTATTTTTTCCACCGCAGACTTGGATAACCAGAGCCCCGGCTGAGAATCAGGAATGACCGCCTCGGCGGGATGATTGACTACAGAGAAGGATATAGGCATGATGGAAGAGAAGTATTAGGATGACTCGAATTTGAATACTTGTGTCTCGGAGTTGACTCTCACACCCCTATCTCATGTGATGCATGCGTGATTACCGACCACTTTCCCTTACATACTGTAGTCAATCAAACAGACCCATTCAATTGAAAGGTGCACAGACCATCGCACCTCATTGTAATCATGAGGTTCGTCGTCTTGGCTGGCTGGGCGCTTGAACGGTCAAGACGACCGAACCCGTGACGGCATCAAATCAAGTCCATCGAAACGAACGCGATACAATCAACACGAATATGCATCTCGCGTCCGCACTCAAACACCAACAGAACTCAGCCATGTCAACGATTCGATTCCACGACATGGTTCAACACCAGAAGACGAGGAAAACCACTGGCATTTATTTCGCTTACAGGGACACGATACAACTCGTTGGCGAGATGAAATTTCATACACAGAAATAATTCACCTGCAGCGTTCACTGGCCGCTCTCTCTCAACATTCCAGCAAAAACATTCAAGACACCATAGATGTGAGCTGCAATTCAACTAACTGACGGACGGGCCGAAGATGTACACACACGTTACCAGATACCATATACTCTCTTGCTACGCCTGCTCGCGCGCGCGGCCGACCCGGTCACACCCACCGCTGCACGACAACGCTGTTCTTGAGCCCCGCGCCCTCGATCGTCGCCGCGTCGTCGGCGAGCGTGCGGTTCGGGAACGTCGTGCCGATGGTGTACGCGCGCGTGAGGTTCTCGGGGCGCGACCTGCGCACGCGGCGCGCGTCAGCAGCGGCCGTGGCCGGATCACGAAATGAAATGCGGAAGGAGCACGCACGCGTTGATGAAGCTGCGCAGATCGCCCACCGTGTGCGTCAGGTTCATGCGGCACACGATCCTGCGCGCGCGTCAGCCGTCGGCCGTCAGCGGCGCACGCGGCGCAGGAGGGACGGAGGCACGCACTTGGTCCCGTCTGCGAGGCGGATCTGCACGCTCGTCGTCGGGCGCGTCTGGTCGACCGCGAAGCGCGTCGTGATGCCCGCGCGGGGCTCCGCGCCCGCGTCCGCGGCGGCGGCGGACGGCGTGCGCGAGGACGAGGCGGCGGCGGCGGCGGCGGCGGGGGGGACGGGCGCGCCGAGGCGCTGGCCGGCGCCCTGGAACGGGCGCGCGGGCGGCGCGGCGTAGTCCTCGTCGGTGCGCTTGGTGACCTGCACGTCGACGCGCTGTCCGGGGCGCACGTTCAGGATCGACGGCGGGGCGTGCCTGCGCGCGCGCTACTCGTCAGCCTCATCACAGGGCAAGGGAAGCGGATGGGATGGGATGGGACGGCGCACCCGGCGTGGATCGCCGCGAGGACATCGGCGTGCGCGGGGTCGTCGTAGCGCATGTACGGCCCGTCCTCGACGGTGAAGCCCTCGCGCCAGAACGTCAGCCGGCGGATCGCGGGCTCCTCTGCCGCCGCACACGAATTATCGTCAGGTCGCGAATCCGCCGAGCGGGCGACGCACCAGAGTCGGACGTGCGCTCCTCGGGGCGGTACGCGCTCGCGGTGTCCTCGCCGCCGAGCGTGTGCCCGGCGCCGCCGAACGCGCGCATGCCCTGCGGCGCCGCGGCCGCGCCTGTCGTCGCGCCCTCTCTAAAGCCACGCTCAGGAAAAGAAAAGAAGGAAGACGGCGGGGTGGGCGGGACGCACTGCTCGGCGCGCCGGAGGAGGTCCCGCACGAGGTTGCCGCCGGGGACGCGCCCGCGCCCGGGGTTCTGCACGGAGAGGCCGCTGGCGGTCCATCTGAGATCGATGCGAAAGAGTCGGGGGGGGCCGCGCACCTGCGTTCGCCACCGGCGAAATAGGTCTCTTGCTCATCGGAAGAATCCTCGTCGTCGTCGTAGGTGTCGCCGCTGTAGTGGCCGCTCATCTTTTGCTAGTGGTGAGAGTGCGAGTGAAAGGGGTGACGTGTGAAGGCTGTTGCCAAACACGCGTCACCATGCAAATTACATAAAATATCGAAGGCAGCCGCAGTTCGTGTCGACCCGCACTTGTGCTCACTGCTTGGTGCATCACCGTTGACGAAACTAACTGGCAAGCTTCTTTCCGGAAATTTGTATCAAATTGTATCTCGATATCGGTCTCCGGGTTGCTATGACATCCAGTTCTCCAATCAGCTGAATGTCAGCAGCATGGCGCAGTTGGAAGCGCGCGGGGCCCATATGATCTTCTTCATTTGTATGTAATTACCCCGAGGTCACTCGATCGAAACGAGTTGCTGCTATTCTTTTGGCTTTTTCTGCGTCAAGTGATTCTCAGGTCGGGCTTCTTTTAACTTGACTCGTGCTCAACCCCATTTGACCATAATTCGAACGAGGCACGCCTTTTTGGTTTGAAGAGCAATGATCACTGTGCATTGGTTTGAAGAGCAATGATCACTGTGCACTAACTACACCGTGAATAAATTATGTAGTTACAGCGGCGCTGACAGATAACAACGGACGTGAAATTCTGCAGTCTCCCGAGATGTTCGTACAATGATATACGCGTAGGAAAGCCAGAGCACACTGCTCGACGTGATGATCTGGAATATGTAAGTGCATTCCATGCAGCCGTCACTGCCATTTAAGCGAGTGGGCGACCAAGCGCGCAGAGGACGAGGTCCGCTCTTGAATTGGACACAGCTACAGAAAAGTCAGACGGCGGTTCTGAGCTCGAAGGTAAACTCACCGGTGCCTCGTGCGCGGGGCTGAATTTCGCCGCTCACTCCCAACTTCGAGTCCTCCACTGGCACTCCCGCACAAAGTCCACCTTTCATCGATTTCATGCAAATTACATACCTCAAAAGCAGCCGCAGTTCAGCGTCGTACCCGCACTTGTGCTTGGTGCAGAATCACCGTTGACTCAAAACCACCTGGCAAGCTTGTTGGAAATCTGTATCCGAGCCTCCCGCCCGTTCTCCGATTAGCTCATATTGTACTACTCCCAATCGTTGATGTCCATGTCAGCATCATGGCGCAGTTGGAAGCGCGCGGGGCCCATATTATGTCAGCGCGGCTTAGAGGTCACTCGATCGAAACGAGTTGATGCTATTCTTTTCCTGCGTCAAGTGAGTCAGGCTCAACTTGACTCCCCATTTGACCCATAACTCTGTATTTCATACGCCCTTTTGGTTTGGAAGACCAATCACTGTGCACTGAACAACACCGTGAATAATTTATCACACCGGTGGTTCTGACTTAAACGGGCGCCATTTGAATCATTCATATATGAGATATTCGGGTGAAAATCTAGCGGCCTGATCCGTCATATCAGGCGCCCGGGCCCCTGTTATATATGCACGTGATCCGTAAACTTCCTAATATGGTAGTTTGTACATCACGTGATCGACCCTTTTATCCATCGCATCCCGTGATTTTTGACCCGGATATCTCACGTAAAAATGATTCAAATGGCTCACGTTTATGGCCGAACCGCCGGTGTGTATGTAGGTAGATACCGCAGAGAACAACGGACGTGAAATTCTGCAGTCCTTCGAGATGCTCGTACAGTACAGTGATATACACGTAGGAAAGCCAGAGCAGCTGCTCGACATCATGATCTGGCATATGTAAGTGCATTCGTTCCATGCAGCCGTCACTGCCATTGACGCGAGCGGGCGACCAACGAAGCACGCAGAGGACGAGGTCCGCTCTTGAATTGGACACACAGCTGCAGAAAAGTCAGACGGCGGTTCTGAGCTCAAAGGTAAACTCACCAGTGCACGCTGAATGTCAGCAGCATGGCGCAGTTGGAAGCGCGCGGGGCCCATACAGCCAATATCGGAATAAGTTACCCCGAGGTCACTCGATCGAAACGAGTTGATGCTATTCTTTTGGCTTTTCCTGCGTCAAACAAGTCAAATTTAACTTGACCCCCATTTGACCGTAACTTAAATTTCATACGAATTTTTGGTTTGGAAGATGTGCACTGACAACACCGTGAATAATTTATGTAGATACAGCGGCGCTGACAGAGAACAACGGACGTGAAATTCTGCAGTCCTTCGAGATGCTCGTACAGTACAATGATATACACGTAGGAAAGCCAGAGCAGCTGCTCGACAGTAAGCATGCAGCCGTCACTGTCATTTAAGCAAGTGGGCGACCAACGATGCGCGCAGAGGACGAGGTCCGCCCTTGAATTGGACACAGCTGCAGAAAAGTCAGATGGTGGCTCTTGTCAGTGCGAGCTCGAAGGTAAACTCACCGGTGCCTCGTGCGCGGCGCTGAATCTCGCCCGTTACTCCCAACTCCGAGTCCTCCATTCCCGCACAAGGTCCTCACGAGAAGTACTCCGTGCGGCCAAGATCGACAGGAGCGGGGGCTGGGACGGGGAGAGGCGCGGGTAGGTCGATGGAGACGACGCTGCTGCGCTTGCGGCGGGGGAGGTTCGAGAGCGACGGCCCGAGCGCGCCTTTTGGAGCGATATTGGGGAGAAATGGGGCGAAGGTGAGGCTGAGGGTGAAGCCCCGGCGGTCCCGAAGGGTGAGCGCAGCGCTCGCCAGGTCGCTCGACTCAGAGATCGAGCAGGACGGGACGGTGGATGAGAGGTCGTCGAAAGCGGACATGAAAGTGCTCGACATGATGTGATGCTGTGAGTCGAGGGGTGTTTGCAAGTTGCAGTGGTGGGTGGTGGGACGATGTTAGGTGGGGATTTACAGGCGGACAGTAGGGGTAATTTATAGACCGGTGAGGATAGGGACTGAGACATATTTACATTCCGCGGCAAGTCTCGCATGTAAAAGGGGCAAAGGTTGTATTGTATGTCCTGCTGGATTTCCTAGCGAGACGATGGCCGCCTCAAATTTCAGCGATACGATAGCCGCCTTGAATTCCATTCAACTCGTCAGGCGCGGGCGTGTTGGGTTGGCATCCGAAAATACGGCCGCGGAACTTTCCGGATTGTTTACGTAAGCGTCATGCTGTGCTTCACGTTCCTCCTCCTTTCATGATAGTCTCAGAGCTGTCGCCCACTGCGCCTCCGCGTTATCCCTGTGGCATGCGCTGCTATTATTCAATCCATCGGAGTCACCGCTAGCTTCGTCTCTTCCGGGCGACTCCCTGCCGTGCGATCCATTGACCTCTGAGCCTTCTTCTCTCTTCTTCTGCACCCACATTTCCGACACTCCCTGTGGATCTCGCCCCGAAGCCCGGCTGTACTCATACAAAACCCTCGCTCCCGTTATTGTGGCTTATTATCGGCGGTCCATGGCCATGGCCAGTCACAGGCTGGGCCTAAAGATAACGGGTGGAACCGATGATGATGCCGAGTACACCCCAGGATTTGGACGAGGTCTCCGTTCTCCAGGTGCGCCTACTGTGCTTTGGGCATCTCACCCTCGGATGGAGATGCGAGAATGCGATCTGCAGCTAGCAGTTAGCTGTCATGATCGTCGCGTTGTCGCGATCCAGCGGTGCGGGCCGTTTGTCCCTTGGGGTACGCGGTGTTCGAGCATGTCTTGTCGCTGTCTGCCGCTCGCTTACGCTCAGCAGGATACGACAGGGAATGTAGCGCCCGCCCAAAACAGTGGACACAGGAACCACAGAATATCATGCAGAGTACGGCTCTGACGCTCATGGCTCTGTTCCTGGTGTGCTTTGCAGACCGGCGTGCTTTATCTACTTGGCCTTCAGAGCTTCAGCGCTGGATCTGTCAACATACCCCTGGGTGGCATGCGCCCCTCACGCGCTAGCGGTTGATAACCATTGAGCGTGATTGGAGATCCGTCAAGCACGCGTGATGGTATATACATAGAAATCTTCTTCGCCTGAAGCGCAAACCAAGTTTCCTTCCCCACCATGCGGCGTCTCCTGTCCTCCCTGCTCGTCGCCTCCCTGCTCGTCCTCCCGGCGCTGGCCAGCCCGCCGCGCCTGCGCGTCCCGCGCCAGGACGACACCGGCGACGCGGCCGACGACGACGACGCCGACGGCGACACCGACGACGACGCGCTCGCGGACGGGAACGTCCCCGGGCTCGGCAACGGCACCGGCATCCCCGACGTCGCGAACGCGACCAACCCCGCGTGCGTCCCGTACTACGCCGTGCGCGACGCGATCCTCGGCGGCATCTTCCACGGTGCGCGCGCCCTCCCTTGGCGCGCAGATGGTGTATTGATGTCCGACAGGGCGCTGCGGCGACATGCCGCGCGCGGCCGTCCGTCTCGCGTTCCACGACGCCGGTGCGTACCTCGACAGCGCCGGCTCGCGCGCCACTGACCCACGCGTCGCAGGGACGTTCTCCCTGCGCCTTGGCGCGCTCGGCCTGCCGAACGGCGCCGCTGACGGGTCGTTCCTCTGGGACCCGGATGAGGTGCAGCGCGTGGAGAACAACGGCCTGCAGGCAATCACCGCGGCGCTGACGCCGCTGCCCGCGCACTTCGGTGTCTCTCCGGGTGACGTCCTCCAGGTGCGCCCGCCCCCCGTCTTCCACCTCCTCTTCGGCGCGCTCACGTTCACGCGCACAGCTTGCGGGCGTGCTCGGCGTGCTCGCGTGCCCCGGCGGGCCGCGCATCGACGCCTGGGTCGGCCGCCCGCAGCCCGCGAACGTCGCGCCGACGGGCCTGCTCCCGTCGCCGTTCGACACCGTCGAGCACCTCACGGGGCGCTTCGCGGACATGGGCTTCGCGGCGACGGACCTCATCGCGCTCGTCGGCGCGCACGGCACCGCGAAGCAGCGCTTCGTCGACCCCAGCCGCGCGGGCCAGAGCATGGACAGCACGGTCGACATCTGGGACGTCAACTTCTGTGCGTGGTCGCGGTTGCACGGTGACTGGGCGGCGTTGACGTGCCTTTTTTTTTCTTTCTGGCGGCAGATAACGATACGACGATCCCCGACGCGCCCAACGGCGTCTTCCGCCTGCAGAGTGACGTGAACTTTGCGCACAACGCGAGCACCACGGCCGAGTTCCACGGCTACATCAACAACCAGGAAGACTGGTGCGCCCCGCTCTGTTTTCCCCCCCACTCCCACTGCCGCGGCTGACGCGCGCGCTGCAGGGACCAGGACTACCGCACCGCGCACCTGCTGATGAGCACGCTCGGCTACAACACCGCAGACCTCACGAACTGCACGGAGCTCATGCCCGCGAGCATCAATTTGACGCAGATCAGCACGCCGGATGCGGGCGGCCGCCTCCAGGTTAGTCCGATGCTGCTCGCCGCGGCGCTGGAGAAGTACCGCGCGCCGTGGCTCGCAATGTGAGTGGCGGTGAGCGGGGGGTACTGCGCGGAAAAAAACAAAAGGGATCTATGGGCACATAATACTATGATAATACTAGACGGTCGGATGCTAGTGAAAAGAAAAGGTTGCATTCTACAGTACCTACAGTCACGGCAAAAATCGACAGAATCGATACCCTTACATACTTGTATCGTCATGGGTATCGAGGAGAGATTACCAGAATCGGCACTCAGTTTGACTGACCCGATTCTGACACACGACTCTGACTTGAAGTGCTCATACTCAGTGAAACGAACTGCTACTCGGTGAAATAAACATGGTTTTGTGGTTATAGTAAAGTTTGCTATTCGTTTACGGTCCGGGCTAGTTCTTGCCAAGTTCTCGTGGTATGTCTTGCTCTTCCACGCATGGTCCCTGCAGCTTATTTCAGACTTGCCGCTCTTTGCCATTGGCCCCGGTACTTTTTCCCGAACTCGGCCATTAAACTGGTTCGGACACCGAGTCCGAAAGCCGAGTTCGAGCCGACAGTTATGTACATTGTGTCCCCGAAAACAGCCGAACGTCTTCTCGTCCCACCGTGATACTGGTCTGCACGCCTTGTCCTTCACGGTGATAAAGGGGCGTGCGGAGCTTTCTCAACACTGAGAATTGACTCCAGATTCTTCCGCACCTCATCGTGATTTTGCCATATACCTCATGCTCTCTCATCGCATAGGGCGTTCACTCAGCAATGCTCGTCCTTCAAGAACAACGTCATGGCCAGCTACCTTCTCCACAACCTCGCCTGCCTCGTCCTACGCTGATACCATACAGAATCTCAAGATCGGCCCCGATACGCGCGTCATCTTCCAAGGCTTCACTGGACGCCAGGCGACAGCAAACGCCGTCGAGTCTCTCGCATGGGGCACGCAAATCGTCGGCGGGGTCTCGCCCGGGCGGAACGGTACTCATCCCGCGCTGCCGCATCTCCCGGTGTTCCCCACCGTGCGTGCGGCCATGGAGCACCTCAAGCCGGACGCGACAGGCGTGTACGTCGCGGCGGCACAAGCTGCAGCGGCCATTGAGGAGGCTCTCGAGGCAGAGGTACCCCTCATCGTCGCCGTTGCAGAGCATATACCCGTCCACGACATGCTGAAGGTGGGCGCCGTGGACTTACGCTGCGTCGGCTCATCATAACGTGCTCGGCAGATCCACTCAATGCTCAAGTCGCAGTCCAAGTGTCGGCTTGTAGGCGCCAACGCACCCGGGATCATCTCTGCAATCGGGCGCTGCAGGATCGGGTTCCAGCCGATTCCCTGCTACTCGCCGGGGCACGTCGGAATCGTCGCCAAGTCGGGGACGCTCACCTACGAGACCGTCGCTGCGCTGACGCGCGCCGGAGTCGGACAGAGCCTTTGCATCGGCATGGGTGGAGACATCGTCGCGGGCACTGACTTCGTTGATGCGCTCAAGGTATTTGAGCATGACCCCGATACGCATGGTGTCATCATTGTTGGTGAAGTCGGCGGGCAAGCGGAGGAGGCAGCGGCCGAGTGGATCTCCCATTACAAGAAACGCTGTCCGAATCCTAAGTAAGCTCAGCACCTGGGGGTATTTATGTGCTCATCTTTCGTTGTCTAGACCCATTGCGGCGCTCGTCGCGGGGAAG